AAAGAGAGAGGGGCGGTTCTGTTCTCAATGTTGTTGTTGTTTGTTTTGTTTCCATGTTTTTTGTTGGTTTTTTATGGGTTTTTTGTTTTGTATTTTTGTTGGGGGGGGGGTATTCTTGAAGCACTTTGCGTTTTCGTCATTCTTAAGTGCCATGTTCAAAGGAATCTGGGGGCAGCGTTAGCACTTTCGGTGTTTACTGTCTCTGCAAACCAAGGAGAAGGACTTCCTATACATGTGTACTTAGGTTGACTGGTACGTGCGTATGAGCTGAACTTGTACGCCGTTTTCGACACAGTATGAGACAGTACAGAGGCCGACTTTACTTCCAACTTCCACCAGAGAGGGTTTACAGACGCTTCGAAGCGAGCCCCGCAGACTGTCCCACAGCCTTGGTTTTAGAGGCGCCCACGAAGAGATTCGAACGGGAGCCTGATTTGTTTTCAAGTAAAACAAAGCATAAATATATACACAAGAAACACTTTGTGTGAAAGGGAAAACTTGTGAGGTACGGCGTCCTTATCTCTGCCAACTGGTCATCCTTTTCTACTCATAAAGGACATACACTTTGCCGAACGCATTATTGAATTAAATTTTCATATTTAGAACGTGGGTGGTTGGCGGGTGCTCTGGTGTGTTTGCATCTACTTTCCTATCAAACATCTATCGTCCTTATCTCCCCTTCTTTTTTTATGTTTGTTACTCTCTTGTAACACCTTTAATTTTCTAGCGCTCATATGACCTTATGCAGTTGCGAGCGCCGTAAAACCTCTACTAAAACTAAACTAAACTAAACATGTTTAGAACTGCACTTTTGTTTGACATAATTGACAGCATAATAAAACGACAAAGAGAGAATTGATGATAATAGGCAAATGGAAGAGAAATCGTTAAAAAAAAAAAAGGAGCAAACGAAAGAAGTGATTGTATGTGCCGAAGAGCCCCCCAACCACCTGTACAAATTGTAACAGATTTATTTTTGTTCGCAAAGCAGCGCGCTTTTGGAGAAAAAAAAGGATGTGCTGAGTGGGGGGAAAGATAGGGAGGACTCAGCAGGTTTCGGGGAGTCGTCTCGACATTTCGTTCTGCGAGAAGGTCGCCGAATGCCAGAGGCCTGTTTCGACGTCGAGCAGCTTTCTCTTTCCGAAATGCACGTTCACCAGGTTGCTTGCGAGCGCAGAGCGAGAGCAGAATCGATGAAAGTGCTGCAGTGGGATTTTTGATGGTTTTTTGTTTTGATTTTGTTTTGTTTTT